TCTGTAGGTGTATGGGTATGAATATATGGGTATGTTAGTGTAGTGGTTACGAGACGGGTTGCTAACCTCAAGGTCAGCAGTTTGAAACTACCAGCCATTCCGCAGGAGACAGGTGAGGCTTTCTGCTCCCATAAAGATTCACAGCCTGGGAAACCCTATGCAGGGTCACTATGAGTCGGAACCGACTCCACAGCACATAACAACAACAACAACAACAACAACAACAACAACATGTATTTATAACAATTGTGAGGATGGTGCACAACCGGTCAGTGTTTCATTCTGTTCTACATAGGGTCACTATGATTCAGAACCAACTAGACGGGACCTAACAACAACAGTGTGTGCGCATGCATAGATATCCATATATAATACACCACATAGAGGACACAGTTCTGGATAGTACTTAAACATAACGAAATATCTTGGTTTGTTTTAAATAGATTGGTTTTCTGTGTTTGTCTCATGGGACTACTCAGTTAACTGGCATAATATAGTTCATAAAATGTATGTTCTACATTCCAATGTGGGGAGTAGTGTCTAAGTCTTAAAAGCTTGTAAGAAACCATCTAAGATCTATCCATTGGTCTCCACTCATCCAGAGCAAAAGAAAAAAAAAAGGAAATCAAAGACTTAGAGAAGAAATGTATGTGCATAGGACCAATAGTCTACATGATCCAGAGAAACTAGATGGTGCCCAGATACCACTACCGAGCCATCTGCTACATACAACAGAAGAGAAATGTGGAGCACAATTCAAGTTCTTAAAAAGTCTAGACTTACTGGGCTGGTTATATGAGAGGATTCTCTGAGACTTAAAATCACAATCAAAAACCTTAAATCAAAATGACCCTTTTTGAGCTTGCCCATTAGCTAAATAACAAGCTATCCTATACAATAGAGTATTATCTGCGGTAATGAGCAAAGACTGACTCGATCTTAGGAAACAACACAGACAACAGAGGTGCTAAAGCAAAGATTAGAAGGGAGAGAGAGAGACTAGCGTACTGGCAATGGAACCACCAGAACAGAACGGATGAGCATGAAGACACCGTGGAAAATGTAGCCATTATCACTGAATACTTTGTGTAGAAACTGTTAAATGGGAACCGAATTTACCGTGTACGCTTTTACCTTACACACACTGCAACAATATTTGAAAACTACAAAACGCTATGGAAGAGTTCTACTCTGTTAGACAAGTTGAAATCAACTTGAGGACACCCAACAGAAACACACAATGTTGGAGATACACTTCGATTATTATTTTACCCAGTTAAATCAGGATTTCTGATAAGTTGTGGTTTTGGGCTGGGTCCATGTACTTTATTGATGGTGTATGACAAGGCTGGTCTCTAAGCCCCTTCCCTTCTTCAGGGGGTCTGGATGGAAACTGTGTGGAGGATGGGAGTTTCTCAGTGTGTTGGGGGATCAAGCTGGGGTAAGGGCTCCTCAGCAGCTCAGGGACTCTCTCTTCCTCTAGTGCTGTTGCTGGGCTGGTGGTCCAGGGGGCCCTTTTCCTTGGAGGCCAGGTGGACCATAAGGTCCACCACCATATTACTGTAGCCAAATTCATCATCATACCAGAAAATGAGCTGGGCAAAGTGGTCGTTGAGGGCAATGCCAGCCCCAGCATCAAAGGTGGAAGAGTGGGTGTCACTGTTGAAGTCCCAGGAGATGACCTGGTCTTCAGTGTAACTCAGGATGCCTCTCTGGGGTCCGTCTGATGCCTGCTTCACCACCTTCTTGATGTCATCGTATTTGGCAGCTTTCTCTAGGCAGCAGGTGAGGTCCACAACAGACACCTCGGGGTGGGGACCCAGAAGGCCATGCCAGTGAGTTTCACATTCAGCTCATGGGTGACCTTGCACACAGCCTTGGCAGTGCCAGGAGATGCAGGGATGATGCTCTGGGCAG